CGTCTACACCAGCTGCTACTGGTAAGGGCCGCCGCTGCCCGGGGCGATGCGCGGGAGCTGGGAGCATTTCCCTCCCTGTCCCCTGTGAGTTGGGCGTCCCCCACCATGAGGCGTTGGGACAGCGGCAGTCATAGGCGGGAATCGCGGGTGGTGTCCGGCTGTGCCTCTGCTGGGAGCTTGACCTTACCTTTACCCTTGAGCTTGCCTTGTTATCTATGTGATCTGGACAGCCTGTGGCCACCCACGGAGTTCATGCTGAACAGTCATCGTCTCCTGGCTCGCTTCTGGTCATTGGAAATGAACCCTGTGTGTGTGTGTGAAATAATCAGTTATTGTGTTTGACAGTGAAGAAAACGTTTGGAAACTTTGTGACTACATCAGGAGCCAGGATCGATACCCGTTAGAAGAATTTTATGCTGTTTTTGTATCCAATGATAGGAGGATGGTGAGTAGGTGAGATGTGATCTGCATGCAGCTATGGAGAGGTTCAGGCCTTTAGATCACAGCCCAACCCTAAGTAAGATGTGGTCTGAAACCCTTTTGTAGCTCATTTTGGTTGAGGCTTGCAAACCACACCATGGGAGATCTTTTAGATATCCAAAGCATTCAGGACCGTGGTAAGAGGCACGATGTCTCTATTTGCTGTGAGGGGAATTCTTCCCTGTTATCTGTCAGTTTAGCAGAATGATGATATTTTGTGGTCCAGAATAGCATCTCCAACCAACTTCATGCTCCTGAAAGATAGAAACTAGAGAAAATTTTCTGATTGCAGCACAGATGTAAGCTGATGAAGTGGCTAAGTTAGCGAAGAACTAACCAATTAACCTGAGATTAATCTATGGATCTGAAAGGTTTTTATTAATTTCAGATTTATTCACTTTCAGATTCCACTCTGGAAGCAGAAATCAGGACATGGAGATGAGCCTGTTGTCTGGGTAAGGCATTCTGTTCTCTCTTGGTACTTTCGAGTATCTGCTTCTCTATTTGACATCGTAGGATCAGACATAGACAGTGTCAGCCATCTTTACTGTAACAAACTGTTCCATCTGAACATAAAATAATAAGAAGAAACACTTTCTTATTGAGAGGGTGATGGAGTACTGGAGCAGGTTATTCAGAGAGGTTGTGGATTCTCCATCCTTAGGGATACTTAGCAGCTGTCTAGATAAGGTCCTGGTCAGGTGGCTCTGGTTGTCTGTGCTTGAGCAAGACCTCTGGAGATCCCTTCCAATCTCCTCCATTCTATAGTTTTGTGTTAATATTTATTATTCTTTTACCATAGATTTATAAAAAGCCTAAATCTGGTTCTCCTTTTTACCATTCATAGTAAATCAACAGCAAGGCAGCCAGTTAAATATACAGGTGACAAACCTTAACATTGGTAAGAGTATGTGACAGATTTGTGAAAATTATTATCTGGGTATTGTCGAGGCAACCAGCTTTATAGAATTGTAAGTAGATGTCTGTATTTGTAAAGAGTAGATGTGTGAAAATACCTGTGTAGTCCTGATAGAGGATGGAAGAATACAAGCATGTGTATTCAGGTGTCAGCAATTAAACTGACACATAAATAGTGGCTTTGGAGTGTCATTTGATCAATGAATGTAATTAAGTAATTGCCACTACAGAATTCTCTTCAAATATATATCACTACAGAGTTCTTTCAGTTATTTGGTATGGAAGAAACTACTTCTTGTGGCAGTTCCTGTTTCTGAAGTTCTGCAAAATAATTGGATCCTTAATTCTCTCTCAAAATACTGGTATACTTATAGTACAAAAAGGTTTTAGTTTAAAAAGGCATCCAAGTGTTACAAAGATGATATAAGAAGGAATAGGAGAGTCAGAAAGGCCACTGCAGAAGGTGGATTTCTGATAAAAACTCATGGATCAAAGGATGTTTTAGCTTTGATGTTTCAGTGAATCATAGGATATGTAAAGCTTGTAGTTAATTTTTCTTATACTCTCTAACGGACTCTTCTAAAAATTGTTGCATACAGTTGTATGTGTATATTGGTGTGGCAAAATAGCTTGCCTAAGATCATCTTCATTCAGATCCCTTTGTGGTTAGGATTGTTTAATACTCAAAGTGTCAAAAGACAGTGCTTTAAACTCTTTGTGAGTGGATTTAATGTAAGCTTTAGTAAGCTCTCAATAGCTACCTTCAATTTAATTTTGGAAAACAGCAATCTATATACCTGCCACCTAACATCAGTAATTTCAATTTCTCCAAACCTTCACTACACTTACGTTTCTTACAAGTTAAGGAATGAAACTGTGCCTCAGAAACCAAGTGTCAAGACAAAATAGTTACTTTGAAAAAGTGTGATATAGTGCCCATAGGCATTTTTTCCCAGCTTCAAGAGCTACTACAGGAATTTGTCTTGCTCCTATGGTCCTCTTGATCTGAGCCTTTTGCTGCATTTTCACTTGCATGCTGTTTCTTAGGTGCTTCTGGCAGCTAAACACTCAGCACTCAAATTCACAGATTGTGTTACTGCAACAGGTACAACATCTCTTAGTAGAAGAGATCACTAGATAATTTTAATCATCGTATAGTGTTGTGAACTTTTATTTAAGACTGGGTCCACATCAGAAATGCTTATCCCACTCAGCGTTTGTGCTTTGGTGTGGGACATGAAGGAGATTTGCTGTTTGCTACTCCTAAGAATACTCTTTGGTTTAGCTGTCCAGGCTTAAATCAAAAGAGACCACAAAGGAATACAGAGAAGACCAGGGTTTCTTGAAGGGCACAATGGATGAGACAAGTGTCAGGAAATCTCTCTTCTGGTACCAGAAATGTTACAGGCTTAATGCTTCAAGAGCAAAAAGCAAGGTTTAAAGAAAGGATCTGTAGGTTCTGCATTTAGGAAGTGTTTGTTTTTTTTCTTTTTCATTCCCTTTGCCTGTTTCTCATGTACAGCTGTTTAACTAACGGCAATTACCCTTCTTCCCAGGATTACCATGTTATTCTACTTCACGTTTCCAGTGGGGAGCAGAACTTTATTTATGATCTTGACACTGTGTTGCCATTTCCGTGTCCTTTTGAGCTGTACAGTGTGGAGGCCTTTAGGTTGGATGACAGCCTTCGTCCAGAATTTCACAGGTGATGACGTAAAATATAAAGACCATGAATATTACTTCATAAAATCAAAGTTGAAGTTCTCGTTGTGGATGCACAGTCACAGTTGACCTGGACAGGCTGGAGAGTTGTGTGGGGAGAAACTTAATGAAATTCACCAAGGACAAGTGTAGGGTACTGCATCTGGAGATGAACAACCCCGTGGATCAGTGCAGGACGGGAGGTGACCTGATGGAGAGCAGCTCAGGGGAAAGGGACCTGGAGGTCCTGGTGGACAGCAGGATGACCATGAGCCAGCAATGTGCCCTCGTGGCCAAGAAGGCCAATGGCATCCTGGGGTGTATTAAGAAAAGAGTGGCCAGCAGGTTGAGGAAGGTTATCCCTCCCCCTCTGTTCTGCCCTGGTGAGGCCACATCTGGAATACTGTGTCCAGTTCTGGGCTCCCCAGTTCAAGAAGGACAGGGAACTACTGGAGAAAGTACAGCATAGAGCCACTGAGACGATGAGGGGACTGGAGCATCTCTCCTGTGAGGAAAGGCTGAGAGAGCTGGGTCTGTTTAGCCTGGAGAAGAGGAAACTGAGGGGAAATCTCATCAATGCTTGTCAATATCTAAAGGACGGGTGTCAGGAGGATGGGAACAGACTCTTCCTGGCTGTGCCCAGCAACAGGACAAGGGGCAGTGGTTACAAACTGCAACACAGGAGGTTCAACCTAAACATAAGGAAAAACTTTACTGCGAGGGTGACAGAGCACTGGACCAGGCTGCCCGGAGAGGTTGTGGAGTCTCCTTCTCTGGAGACATTCAAAACCTGACTGGACGCGTTCCTGTGTGACCTATTCCAGGTGATCCTGTTCTGGCAGAGGGGTTGGGCTGGATGATCTTCAGAGGTCCCTTCCAACCCCTGCCATTCTGTGATTCTGTGAGGTTTTTTGCACTGCCTTATTTTTCTAAACCTCTTTACTTTAGTTATCAAACTCTCTTTCCTGCTGTAGTTTCTTCTTAACAAGTTAACTGCTTGGCACAATATTGCTGATTAATGTATTTAATGACATTAATGCTCCTTGGTTGGAGGAAAGGGTTCTTGTTGGGTGACTAATGCAGTGTTGTATACATGCATTTTTTGATACAGTTTTGCATTATTATTTAGGAAAATCAGAATGATTCGTGCAGATTTGTACTTGAGGACATTTGCTTCAGACAGATCCCATATGAAAGATGCAAATGGGAAATGGCAGAAACCTCCTCCTGCATACCCTTGCATTGAAACTGCAGGTAAGCTGCCAGAGCTCCTTTTTCCTGCTTATGGTGCTGAATGGCATAGTCCAAGATGCACACAAGAAGTAAATAATCTTCCATAACATGTGTCTGGAAGCACATCCAGCTTATTGTTTCACATGAAGAAAAAATAAAAATAGGACTATGAACCATTTGGCACTCTTCTGAACATGTATAGTCTAGCATGCCCCCTGGCAGTTACCATTATCAAACATTAATTACTGATCTTCATACACTGAGCAGAAAATGAGAGGTAAGTAATACTGTTCTCTTGTTACACCAAGGGGACTGAAGCAAAGAGGCCAAGTCATTTGCTTACAGTCACAAAGTGAATTTTTAACACACTGATTATGCTACACTAGCTGGCAGATCCCATCCTGCCAGAGCAGGTTATTATGACAAGAGGAAGTTTTCAGGCTCTGCTTGCTGTGCTGTGTTTCCTGCATGTGATGTTTGAGGTTTCTTTACCGGGTGAGTGGACCTGAGGACACTTTAAGGCAAACTGGCAAGGCAGCAATTTCTTCCCCAAGCCTTAAGCTTCTTTCAGTGATCGTCTAGATCGTAGCCTCGGGGCCAAGCAAAGAAGTAGAGACTTGCCATCTCCTCTGTTCTGTAGAGCTGTTTAAACCATTCTTATCGCACAGCATTCAGCTTATTCTAATCGCGTGCTTGGCAAGTGGGCTAACATTCACCGTGTGTGTGTTTGTTCTCTCATTTCCTTCCCTGATGGAGAAAAGTGTGGTGAAGTTTTGCTTTGAAAGAGTTTTCCTGTAACTGTTCTGCATGCTTTGTTTTGTTGGTTTTTTTTTAAATAATGAAGTACTGTTGTGTATTTATGTTAGAGAAGGTGGGGTCAAAGAAACTTGTTTTGTGTTTACATCCAAGTTTATCGTGGTTTGACATTGTTGGGAAGTGAATTCTCAACCTTTGCTTTGGCTTTTAAGGGAGCTTAGGTCTCACACTAGAGTAGAAATGAATTATGAATGTGGGTAGGAGCAGATGTAGTCCTTGTTGTGAAGCTTTAGGTGTTTTCTAGATGATGCAGGCTATGAAGCACCTTAATTTTTGTGTCTCCAATGAAGTTTTATACAAAGGTAGTATAGTGAGTGAAGAGTGCTTCAGCTGCAATTCAACGTTCACTGTTGGCTGGAGCCTCCTAGGTGCTGAGAACTTCTTGCCTCTGGAAACGTTATTGTTCTGATAGTTAAGAGCTAAATGAAGGAGTGAGGAATATAGATCAGGCCAGACAAGGAAGGTGAAAAAATACTACTGTAATCAGAGGAGTAGAAAACATTACTTGTGGATAGTAAGTTACAGAATGGCACAAACAGTGGCAGATGTGTACATGTACCTCCAGCTGTGGTGAATGACTCCACAGCTGCAAACGCTGTAACTCTCCCCTTATCTGTCTTGCTTGCCCAACCTTTACCACACTGATGAGCAGCAGCCACGTGGTCTCAATAAACCTCCAGACTGTGTCTGTGATGTTGGTAGACAGTGAAAGATACAGAGATCTTAATTTCTCTTGTTCTTTATTTTATTGCTTTGTGTCTTGCTATCCTGAAAGGAACATCTATAGGTCATCCAGTCCAGCACTACTCAAAACAGGCTCCTTAGGGCTCTGTCCAGTCCAATCTTGAACACCTCCAGGGACAGAGATTCCACCACCTTTTTGGGCAGTTTCTTCCCATATTTGACTACCGTCGTGATAAAATAAAACAAATTAATTCCTAGTATGTAATCAGAAGTTCCCATGTTCCACCTTGCCTTTTTTCTTTCTTGTCCTGTCACCAGGCTCCTCCAAGAAGACCCTGGCTCCGTCTTCTTTGTGTCCTCTGATCAGGTAGATGTGGACAGCAGTAAGGTCTCCCTTCATCTTCTTTGTTTAAGACTGAACAGGCTCAGTTCTCTCAGCCTCTCCTTGAATATCATGTTCTCCCAACCCAAACAACTTTGCTTTAACTTTTCACTGAGTACAAGTCCTGTGCTTCAGTGATGCAGTTCTGGGGCCCGCAGGCCAACAGAGGCTGCTTGCCTCTGTTTCCTTGTATCATTATTGTAAGCAGCAGCCCAGTGGCTGATGGTGGAGGCTGACAACCCAAAAATGTGAAAAGAGAAGGGCCCACTCTGTGCCATGTCAACTGGAAAACCCTGGGAAGCTGCCCTGGGAAAATTGTCCCAGATCAGTCCCACACACTGGTCATTTCTATCTCTGGCCGTACTCCCTAGCCCTTATGAAACACCTTTGCTGCATGATCACCTCTGTCCTCCTGCAGGGCTCTGTGATGCCTAGTTCCACTGCCATTATTAAAAGGGAACCAGCTTCTTCCTGACATTTGTTACACACATGTTCCATAGCTTTTGCCACAGCTGGTCTCTCAGCCAAGATATCTCTCAGATATCTCTAGCTACATCAGGTGCTCATGGCCTTGTCTTTACAATTATTGAAAATCTCCATCAACTGAGATCCTAATTTATCTACCCACCCCAAATCCAAGAAGACCAACAGGGAGGGTGAAAAGGGGGTTATCAAGTCACTGAGGAACATCCCTGCCCATTTCCCCTCCTTCTGTGCCACTTAGGGGTAGAAGGTAGAGATAGCAGGAGTGAAGTTGAGCCTGGGAAAAGGGGAAGGCATTTTAAGATTTGTTAATTTGTTTCTCACTATCCTATTCTGATTTTGTTGGTAACTAATGAGTGTCCTTATCTCAACCTGTGAGCATTTCACTGTATTTTTTTCTCCCCCAGCACAGCTGAGGAAGGGGAGCAATAGACCAGCTTGGTGGGCACCTGGTTTCCAGCCAAGGTCAACCACTGTGCAAGTCTAGGAAGAGCTTCTGGCATTTGTGCTCACTCAGGTTCATCTCACCACACACTTAGGAAGTATGTGCTTAGATCTCATCTGCATAATGCAAACACAAACTTCTGACCCAGTCATTTGGTTTCCCTCTGTGGAGAGACAACCAACCTCTCCAAGCTGTGGTAAGAGACTAGTGCTGAAAGTGGTGGTTGTTATTGGCTAGTCAGTTTTGGAGAAGGTCTTGGAGAAAGGGTCTCGGACAAACAAGTCACTGCAGGGTCCTTGTAATGTCTTAAAACACAGGGAGCACGCCTTGTCCTTAGGCACAACAGAAAGAGAGGTACTGAATCAGGAATGGTGTGAAGAATGATATTTCTCTGTGGGCAACATTACTACAACTAAGGAAAGCTAAAAACCAAACTAGACAAAATCAACTAACACAGACAGGCTGCTCCTATAGAGAATTTAAATGTCAGTGATTTGCAGAAGAAGTTGGGCAGTTTATTGCTGATTAAAAAAAAAACCAGTCATCACTTTGCACACTGCATTGTTGAGCTCCTGGTTCCTCATGCTGTAGATGAGAGGGTTCACTGCTGGAGGCACCACTGAGTACAGAAATGACACCACCAGATCCAGGTTTAGAAAACATTGCTGTCAACAAGTGGAACTGGTAATTCTCCTTTAGAGATGAGTAAAATAATGTCTTACTAGTTTTATCAGGCATAAAAGCGCCTTATTTTATACATGATGGAAAACTGGGTGGCAGACCTTTTGTTGTCATAGAAGAGCCTGGGGTATTAATGTTCACATCCATGCCAAATTCCATTGCAGATAACTGTTTTCTCCCTGCTGTTTCACTTAGATAGAGTACTCTGCTTTCTGTGATAATTTGTGTTTGCATAAGATTAAATTGCTTACAAATCTCATGTTAGAGGTGACAGCAATGCTGTCAGAATAGCAGAATAGCAAACAGCTGGCAGAATAGATCACATATTGTTTCACTGTCAATTTATTTGTGAGGCACATTTAGATTATACTATTATTATTATTCTTCATAGAATCACAGAATGGTTTGGCTTGGAAGGGACCTTAAAGCTCCCCCAGTCCAACCCCTGCCATGGACAGGGATACTTCCCACCAGACCAGGTTGCTCAAAGCCCTGTCCAACCTGGCCTTGAACACTGCCAGGGAGGGGGCATCCACAGCTTCCCTGGGCAACCTGTGCCAGTGTTTCACCACCCTCACAGTAAAGAATTTCTTCCTAATATCTAATCTAAACCTACTCTTTTTCAGTTTAAAATCATTCCCCCTTGTTCTGTTGCTACCTGCCCTCGTACAGAGTCGCTCCCCAGCTTTCCTGTAGGCTCCCTTCAGGAACTGGAAGGCCGCAATAAGATCCCACCAGAGCCTTCTCTTTTTCAGGCTGAACAGCTCCAACTCTCTCAGCCGGTCCTCGCAGGGGAGGTGCTCCAGCCCTCTGATCATCTTTGTGGCCCTCCTCTAGACCCACTCCAACAACTCCGTGTCCTTCTTATATTGGAGACCCCAGAGCTGGACCCAGCTCTGTATATCACTAATTTTGCTGTCATTTAGAGTAGCCAAATCTCTGAGCTCTTGAGAAGATGATTACAAAAGCATACAAGGTTTTATATTACTTGTTATATGTGGTCTTTGATGTTAAACAAATGTTTGAAGACTGAAAAAGATACAATGAAAATGTATCAGTCTTTTTTTTTTTTTTTTTTAATGTTCAAGCATTGTGCTGTTAAAGAGAAATATGCCCACAAACTCTTGGTATTTAAAGATAATCAGCACTCAAGTACTATTGTGTTGATAAAATTTGGTATGTGTCAAAGCATATTAGCTATGTTTATATACACTGCACTGCTTATATCACTGGGTTTTAAAGCTTTTAGTAAACTTTAAAAAGACAAGAATATTTGTTCTTGGTACTGAAATCTTTCCTCTTCCAGAGCAGAGCAGTTGTTAAGTTGTATGTTATCCATAGGTAGGATATTGTAATTACCCAATGTGGAGCTAGAACAGGATATTGGAACCAGTGATCCTTTTTTTATGGAGTACACCAGGAAATGGTTAATGACCATGAAACTCCTTTTGGAATCGAATTGAAAAATCTGTATCAGTAACCAATTAAGCAAGTTATTTTCCTACTACTTACTCAAAAGGAATAATTCTTGAACTGTATTTGTGCTGCTTATGGGGCTGCAAAATAAACCTTCTGAAATAAGCTTATCTTGAGTCATAAATTCCAGTTCATGCTTTAAAAAGTTGAAGCTGGAACTAGATGATATTTTGAATTTTTTTTTTTCAGAACCTTAGCATTATTTAAAAAAAAAAACCAAAACAAACAACCCCAAACCAACCAACTACACAAAAAACCCTCAAACTCTTCAGTATCTCATCAGAACTCACATGCTAAGGTTAACCTGACTGGGTGCACCGTGCTTTCTCACCCAGTCCCATCTTCAAAGCAGCTCCAGTGGGATATGTGTGCCTGAGCTGCAGCAGCTTCCCTGCTCCCACCTGGCTGCCAGTGGCCTCCGGTTGAAAGAAAATTGGTGAGTCTGGCATTTTGTTCAAATAATAAAAATTAAGAAGATACAATTTGGGGCACAGATTCATCATTCTAGGGCTGACAAGTTCAGCCTGGGGTTTTCTTCTAGGTATTCTCTCCACAAATCAATGAGGTCTGATTCTGTTTAGTTTGAGTCCTGGTGAGATCAGCACTCCTTGCTGCAAGCCTGTGTAAAGTACAGCTTGCACAATGCATTTCAAAATTACTCAGAACAGATGGTGTTACTACTCATATACAACTGTTAGCATCAGCTCTAACACTGAAAAGCATTGGTTTGAATTTCAGTTCTTCCTAGGTGTTTGTTAGCACGCTGGCAGGATTGATTTGTAAAGGTTTTTTGTTCTTGTTATTATTACTAAAATCCCTTCTAGTCATAAATGATGGGGTTTTATTTTAAAGAGCATGAGGACAGCTGAGACATTCTGGAGGCGCTGTGTACAACACACATCTATGTAACAGGTGAGCTGCTAGACAGAGGCCAGGCAGATGTCTGCAGCTTCCTTCTGCATCTCCTCTCTGAGGTGGCAGTAGGATCCCAGTGAAAGCAAAAAGGAGAGCACTGATATGGATCTAAGTAACTCATATGCACTTCATGGGAACCTTCTACTCTTTTCATTTGAGAATAAAACTGCAATCTGTCAAGTTAGGTCCTCACTTCATGAGTTTTTATGGAAGTAAAGAATCAAGCCAGGGTAGAGGCAATAAAGATTACAGCTAAGTACAGATGTATTTATATTCCATGAGTGGCATATTGAAATTATACCACTTTCTGTGAAAGTTAATTTAAGGTGATGAGCTTTGTTTTACACTGAGATGGACCAGAATGGTTTGCATGGTCAGTTATGTCTTGGTTGCAGGGACAGCACCCTCCAGCTGAGCATGGTAAGAGCTTTTCCAGCTCTGCCTGCCTAAATGCTTCTGTCCCTGCTCAGGCAAGGGAGGAGGAGCTGAAGAGAACTGTACACACCTATACAAGTCTGCAAAGAGCCCAACTTTCTGAGTATTTTAGATGCCCCCAAGGTTAGGCAGGAGCAGAACTGATCTTGGAGGCTTGTTTTAGACATGTTCGCTTCCTTTGGCAGCTGTTGTTATGCAGAGTGAGTCCAAGGTCTGTGAGCCAAGCCAAGGCTTGTGTGAAATACCTCTTTCTGACTCCTGTTGGCAGAAGCCACAAGTATCGTGGCTAGCAATACCACTTGATAGCTCGTGGCCTTTTATTTTGTCCCTGCTTGGGGCAAAAGTGTCAGACTTGATTAAAAAAATAACATGCAGGAATCTCGGAGTGTGCCAGCTTGGTCTCATTGTGTGCATACTAAATGAGTTTGGTCAAAAAGGAAGATTGGCTCTGAGCGTGCACAAATGCGAGCTAGGATAATAGCCACAGCACCTGAGGAGGACTGCACGTGTAATGGAAATCTTAAAAGAAATAAATAAATGCTGCTCTTAACCTTGTATCAATCTTATATAAAGCAATAAGGCATGCTTCTCTGTGCTTTTGTGGAGAAATCCTCTTGGTTTGTCAAGTGTAGCATCCAGAAGTCTCTTTCGTAAATTCTGCTGTTTGTCACTCTTCATTTGCTTTGGGAAGAGGACTTTGTGCTTGTAAGGTCTGACATAACATGTGTGGCATGCAGATATAGCACACGAGTAAGAAGAGTGGCATAGAGAGATTGTTATCTCCTGAATCGAATACAGCAGGAGAGGTCTCACCATTTTTTTCCTATGGATAGCTTTCGTACAGCTTCAGTGCCATCTACTGACCGGTTCTTAGACCAGCTGCTCTTCACTTTGTTCTTGTTTGCTTTGTTGAAACAAGTTTTCTTTTCATTAAAGTTCTCTGATGCACTCTGTGGTGCTCTGCCACAACTTTTCTGAATTTGAGAGGCTATTTCACTTCCTAGAGACATCGTAGCAGCAACTTCTCACTTGCTACGAGCAGCAGCTGTGTTTGTAACTACTGGAACGACCCCTTTGGACTGCTTTAGCATTCACAGAACGGTTTTATGAAATCGTTATTCTCCTATGCTCAGTGCACATAAAGCAGGGAATTTACTTGTCAGATCTTAAACTATATGAAGAATCACATATTAATTTTAAAACAAAAGCACCTGGGAGGAAAAGACAAGTTGGGAACTGGAAAACAGGCTCACCAGTCTGTAAATGACAAAGCTGTGCTGTAGTGTAGATGTGGTGCCAGTGGAGGGCTTTGGGAGCTGGGTTATGGCTGGGATTTCCCAACATCGTCTTCCCTTCCTCGCTTATGCTGTCCATAAGGTAAGCCTAATTAGACAAGCTTTTTGCAACTGAAGCAAATGCCATTGTATGGATTCTCTAACCGATTCATTAGAGCCTACTCTTGTTTGGTTCTTAATCTTTTAATGTGCACATGTATCATCCATGTTGAAATAAATATTTATACACAGCAGGAAAAGTGTAACAGTCAATCCAATGGCTCTTCCACTCCGTTCTGTAAACTCATTCTCCTCCAGTCTTCTTTTAATGGGCATTTTAAAAGATTATTTGCGCAGATCTTTGGTGAGAACACAAAACAAGAAGCCTACGGATGGATGTTTGTAGTCAGAGCTGAGTAGGCTGAGGAATTGGACACCTCTGATCAGCTTGGTTTTGAGTCAGCAAAATGTGTTCCAGGCCAGCTCCAGAAAAAGGATGTGTAAGGCACAGTAAGCCCAAAACTGCACACCAGCCCTTTCCACTGAGCACTCTGGGACCCATGAATGGCACAGAGCAGTTTCTGCTGCTCACGCGTGGGTCAGAGCAGATCCCCTGCCTTTGAGCAGTCAGATCTGTGCACATGTAAGAAGGCTACAATCACCTGTTGCATTGCAGTTCCCTGTGCTGGTTGTTACTTGCACTCCAGTTCTCTGACACCACTTGACCCTTCTGGGCTGCTGTTGCAGGGAAAACTCTTCCTCTTTTCTGCAGGTACTGGTTCCTGGTGACTAAGGGTGCTTGCTGATCCAGTGATGTGATTGTTGCCATGGGCAGAGAGAGGGATCGGGGATAAAAGCAGTATTTCAGAGACTGGAAATAGATGTTTTCATAGCACTGTACAACTTTCAGAGTCTTGCCAGACTGCTGCTCTGCAACATTGCTATGAACTCTTCGCTATTTTGAACTGAATATCAAAGAAGGTTTTATTTTTGGATGCATACCTGTGCTGCCAAAGCTGCATCAAGAACTTTAATATTTCCGTTTTCTGCTGTTTTCAGACTCCAAGATGAATCTGGATGATTTCATCAGTATGAATCCCAAAGTGGGATGGGGCTCGGTGTTCCCCCTTCCGGACTTTGTGTATCGATTCGGCAGACAGACTGATGACAGCTCTTCCTTGGAAGGACGGTGAAGTCAGCAAGGTTCTCCCTGCTTCTTGTGGGTGTGTTTGTTTTGCTGCTTTTACGTTGTATTTATGGTTTACATTTCTTTACATGGAACAAGTATTTGGGCAAGTAATACCCAATCAGAAATATCATGAACTGAATAAAAACTTTTATTTTGATTATGTAAGAGTGAACTTGGTTTTTAATATGTCAAGTCAAAGGCAGACATCCTACTGGAAGCATGTTACTTTTCCATCCACTGTGCCCAAATTGAACAGAGCATTTACATGCTGTTAGAAAAGCTTTTGGAAAAAAATATGCTCGATATACTGAACAATGTGGCTCAGATTGTTAAATGTCACCACATTTTAGACATGAAATACAGTATATTTTCCTTGTGTTATGATTTCTAGCACTTACATAAACAGCGCATCTCAGTTTAGTCACTGGCTTTATCAATTAGGTTTATTTAGCAGAAGCCTAAAGGCCAGACCTCCAAAGGGAACACGGATTTTGCAGTATGATGTTGCACTCCCAAGCACTGTGTAAAACCAGGTAAGTATCTGTGTTTCTGTGCTGTATGAGGGAAAAATTAAATGCATGCCATGTCAGTGAAGCTGTTGTAGTGCTGATGGTTGCTGGAAGATGCAGTTGCTTTTTCTTCTTACGCTGGTTTCACATTCTCACTTGCTCCCATGTTCTTGCACTTGGCATTTGTCTGGCCCCGTGGTAATCCAGAGTGGGAAGCTGAACCGACAGAAAGAAGTAAAGGGCTTTTTTTCTGCCTCTGAGCTCCTTGAACTGGCTTGCCATGAGGTCAGACAGCTGCTCTTGCCAGTACAAGGGAATCAGCAGGGACATATGGTTGGGGGGGAGGGGATGAGAAAGCCTCCCTGACACGGGGTCGCTTGCTGCTGAATTTCCTTAGAGGTAATAGCGAGCTGCAGCCTTGCGGGGGAATCCAGGAAAGCCATCGCGGTGACTGGGGCTTTGGAGCAAAATCTCCCACGTTTTAGAAGAGTACCCTAAACATGGGATTACAGAAATAGGCTAAGATGGGGTATTTAATTCTCTGGTTTTGGACCTGTTCTGCTTTACATACTAGCGTATCATGGACTCACAGGCTAGCAGAATAATTCAGGTCAGGCAGTCTCTAGTCCAATCTCCTGTTCAAATCAGGTCAGACCAGGCTGCTCAGGGCTTTATCCAGTAGGCCTTGGAAACCGACAGGGATTGAGACTGCAGTAAACATTTGTGATGGATGCCAGTCTTGCTGAGGAAAGGCACAGTAACGGTTTTAAGTATGAAGGGATCATTATATTTGTAAGAACAGAAAAAAAAACCAGCTTCAAAGATACTTATATGTATATAATCTCATGTACACAGAGTTTCTGTGCATTGCTCAACTGACCCTTTTAAGATGTTGCAGAACATGAGGTCCTCATCCCTCTGTACTTGAGTGTGTTGTTTGATAGAAATACTGAGCTGCCATCCTCAGCTGCTTTCCGGTGCCTGAAATCTGTGATGCACTCCCTTTAGTGAGGCTCAGACACAATAATTTGCTTCGTTTAATGTAGTTTCAGTATCAAGGCTGTTAAGGAGAGCAGTGACAACCACTATTCAAAATATACAAGTTTTTTTTTAAAAATCAATGTGAAGAGACAGTCTTTTCTAATCAGTCTGAGCAAATGCTTAATTTTACCTGTTGCAAGCTGTGTGTGTGTGTGATGATGGCCTTTCTATAATTAACAGTCTTTTTTGTAAAAAGTTGTCTTTCCAGAGGGATGGGTAAGAGCCAGAGAACAATTTCATTCAGTGCTGAGGGTGCTGATGTTGTGGTGCTGTCTCTGTACCCATTCAAGCCTGGTGGCATTTCATCACCATTTCAGGTGTGCTATCAGAAAGCCAGAATTCAGGAGTAGACCAAGGGCTTGTTTAGGGCCCCAGAAGCAAGGAGGAGCTACTTGCTTCCCCATAATTAGGAGAGACCAGCCCTTTTCCTAATGCTGATGAGCCCCAGTATCCCATCAGAGAGACAAAGTGAATTTCCTCCCCTCTGTTCCTTTCTCTCTCCATTTGTTATTGCAGCTTAGCTTTCTGTTCCCTTTCAGCTTTCTTCACCTGTCCCTTCGAACAGTGAAGCCTTTCTGTTGTCCAATAATTATCACAGGATTTACATGCTGAGAGCCCTTGTGTGGTGGCTTTTGGGACCCTTGAGTCAGGCATGGACCAAAGTAAGGAGAAATCCCTGTGCCCTCAGGTCGGTTACTCACAATCCCATGGCCTCCTAGCCTCTGTATTCTGTTGGCCACTGGAAATTCTCCAACATTTCTACTTCTAGACGTGTTAGGGCAAGACCCTGATAGCCTTATAGTGGTGAGACATCCTCATGCCATCTCACGGGTGATTCCTCTTGCCTCCATCAGGCTACTGATGTGGTAAGCTGCAGCATGAGATAGGACACCCATGTCTCTCCTGCCTTTTTCTCTTCTTTGCTGCTGCTTTTTAGTTAAGAATATAGATTATTTGATAACTAACCTCTTTTATTTGCCTGTTTGGGACTTCAGACAAAAATAAATGGTGTTTTTTCTGGCATGCATTTGCTTGGTCAGCGCATTTTTGCAAACTTCTACATGACCAAGCCTGTCTTGAGAAAATACTGTTTCTCAGTTGGCCAGCAGAGAGAGCAGTCAGCATTCAGTGGATGTGCGGGTAGGGACGCTGAGCCAGCGGCACTCTCCTGCACCCTTGGCCCTGCCAGGACCTGTTACAGATGCAACATAGTAATTCTGACAGCCGCGCAGAGGTGATCCGTATCTTGCAAGGTTGCAGCGAATGGGTTATGTATTGCCTTTGGCTGCCTGAGGCTCTGATATCAGTGCAAGTCCTTCCGGCACATCAAGGACTGTGTGCCAGCATCGTCAAACCACCAACTAATTTTGGGGGACCTGTTCAGCATTCAGTCCCTACTTGAAATGGGTGTGTGACACCTTAGCATGTGAGACTGATTGCTTTGCTATCAATTTAGGGACTTCAGAGGCTGAATTTAGGTATCTGGGATGCTGCAATCCAATCTGTGCTGCTCAGGAGGCACCAAAGTGCGTTTGCATGAAGCAGATTCCAGGATGGGAGCCCTGGTTGGGACATTTTGACCTGTGTGGCCTCCTCTCCTCATCTCCTCATTGACCAGCCAGAGCCTTATGCATGCACTGAAGCACTGTTGCTCTGCAAACACCTCCTGTAAAATGGCCATCACTGGGGTCTGCTTTTCTTTTGTTAGGATGACTTTGGTCCAATTTTTCTCATTTTTCATACTGTTTTCCCCTGCCTTTTCAGCTAACGTGAGTTGTGGACTGAATGACCTGAGGAAGCTGTAGCAGGGAATAGGCAGGAGGTGTGAAAATCCCACTGTGTCCTTGCAGTGATCACAGTCACCTCCCACCAGGTGCCTTGCAGAACCATTACCAAGACATCATCCATCACCCAGGGGGTGGCTGTCCCCGAGCCATGCTGCTGGAGGGGAGGACGTGCAGGGCATTGCTTCACGCATCGCCCGGCTGAGCAGATGGCTCTAGGTTTAGTGGGGTTGCCCTCCTATGACACTTTGGATTCGCAGGCTTGGAGAATCTCATCTCCTCTCAAGGTGACACCTGTCTGGACGTCTGTCTCCCTTCAGGTAATTACCTCCTCAGAAATTTGGAGGAAGGAATGCTGGTGATTTTCTTCTCCCTCCTGGCGTCCTCCTTATGCAGGAGTTGGCTCAGTTGATGATGGCCAAGGTTAACGATGCATACCTAGAGAGTGAGTGTCTGGAGACATCTGTTCAGGGTTGCTGAGCCGCTGCGTGCACCCTTCCCCGTGGAGCCTGGCTCTCGGTGAAGGTTTTCATTCGTGATCATGGGTTCAGAAGCAAAGCACTCCATACAAACACAGGTTTTCAGCAAGTTAAGTGCAGTTGCAGTGGTGGTTCTGGTAAATCTTTCCAGTTTGACCTAAGATAAACAAATATGGTTGCTTAAGTATCCTCAGTGTTTCCTTATACTTACACTAGGAAATACCTTGGATACTGAGGGCAGCTAAAACAAATCTTACTGAATTATCTAAGGTTCCTGGCAAGCCCCTAGGTTTCTGAGAGAGCTAAGCCACTTCCTAGGCACAAGGCACACTGAGCTTTGTTTTATAGCGGTAAAAGCCGTCACTCCCAAAGTCCAAGTGAAGCAGCGTTATTCTCCTGAAGCCCTTTCTGAGTGTCTGGCACTGGTGCAGAGGGAGATGAGCAGGGTGTTTCTGACAAGCCGGATTCCTGACATTATATTACTTAAAAGCAGGAAATGCTCATTTGGCCTGGTTCAGCGTCATACCGGCCTTCCCATGCACGGCTATATCTGGAACCCAAACACTGCAATAAGGCAGGAATCATTATATGTTGTTTTTTTTAAACAGCCTACGCAGTAAGAAGATGGTGGTTATCTCAGCCTTCCCTGCTTTTTAGTATGCAATTGTGGCAGCGTGCTTCCCACTGTCTCAGCTTGACTGCCGAAATGGCAGCACACCAGCTCCACGCTTGGAGCCATCCCGAGAAAATGCTCTGCTGCGGCTTTTAACCATTTAGTTGTAAAACTCCCCCCGCTCCCACCATTTCTAACTGCTGGGGTGAAGCAAGGGTTTCCAGTCCTTGTTTGTAGCCCGTGTAACCAGCGCAGTTATTTATACAGTACTCATCACAGAGCACTTTGCCGTATGAAACGGTCGCAGTTATATTTATACCAGTGCAAAAACAAAGTCGTTGCAAATTGAGGAGGCGACATTCGGAGTATTTTTTCCTTGCTACGTGATGCGGTTTCTTCAGCGATTCAGACTTTTATCAAAGGCAAAGTCACGCTCCTAGGAAGAAAACACAGCCCACTGTAAGTCAGGAGTCCCACTGATGTTCATCTGCGCTTGAGTTTTTGTCTTGCGTGAAGTAAATGCGACTGTTTGTTTAAGTAGCTTGGACCAGTTGCCACCTTGATATGAATATGTGATGCTGCCAGCAGAGTCCATAGAGTTGTCTCAGTTTGATCCATTCTGACAGAGGCACTAAAAATACCTTTTAATATGCTAAGGTATGTGTCTGGCCAGGAGTTGTTTTCAAATGCATC